TGTTTTAGGCCAACTCATGGTTCATGCTATCCTCAGAGTAGAGCCAAACAAAACTTCTTGTTACACAATTTATTTTGTGCCCTTTTGGGGTGGTCCCCAAATCTCCTTCGGATATGCCAGATCTGGTTCAACTTTCAAAAGCAATATCTGAGTAATGACTCCATCCTGCTCCACTCCATGTCACACATGTGGGAAGAGGGTGTGGGGCCACAGGAGGAAGACCTATAGAAATCACCAAGTGCTCAAGGGCAAAACTGCTAGGAAAAGGACAGGATTCCAGAAAGGCAGAAAAGAAGAGAAGGGAATGATCACTAGCAACATGAGAACAGAGAATCGTCTGGGAATCGGAGAGCAGTGAGCAGCACCTGTGGAAGGGTTGATCCTGGCAAGGGAAGACCGGGGACCAGGTCAGATCAGTGGAAAGAAAGCAAAGAGGGGAACAAGAAATGAGATCTGGGAGAGGCAGCAGCCAGGCAGCAAAGATGAAAAGCTCTAATCTGACAAGGGAAGAAGGAAGGCAGGAGGGATGTTGGGTGAAAGAATTGCTCCTAGAACAGAAGTTACACAAGGCCTTTTCTTCTGACTCTTGTGACCATTTCAGCCTTAAAATTTTCATTTCTAATGGGGCTTAGTGATGAGCCTTATCAAGCCTAATCTTCAGGAATATTACGTGCAATAACAAGAAATGGATTGGAAAATCTTCATATGGTTTCATGTGGTTATTTGTGAAAGCTGAACTTAACCAATCTCTAGCTCCCACCACAGTGAAAAACAATGGTGGCTGCAAACCATGTTTCTAGCATTCTTACTCCATACTTTCCATACTTTCAATTATTCACTCAACTGTTACCAATGGGCTGCTCTGTTACCTTCTACTGGGATTTAGGATTATAAAGTGAAATAAGATACTTTCTGTCAGCAAGTTGTTCACATGGGAAAAACATACACTTAAAAATAACAATGTGTTGAGAAGTACTATGACAAAGAAACTATAACAGGGATATGGAGGGACCAGAGAGGGTGTCCTCTAGCCATTTCCCTCATATACCCCCATTTACCCCCATACACCCCCATCCACCTGGAAAGTCTCCTTCCCAACCCTAACCCTCAACCCATATCCCTTGAAGTCCTGACCATTCCTCACATTATAGATCAAATGCTATTTTCTCAACAAGGTGGTTCCTAATCTCAGAAGGTGGATTAATCTTTCCATTCTGTGTGCTTCTGTAACATGTTATTTATATCTCTGGTGTAAAATTTATTCTAATTAGTTCTTTTTAAAAAAACTATGTATAATGAAGGTAGATAGGTAGGTAGATAGATAGATAGATAGATAGATAGATAGATAGATAGATATCTATGGAGGTTTCTTAAAGTGCAGTTAGGGTCTGGTGAGGTAAACGTTCATTTACATCAAGTAATCTACAGCCCCCTTTAAGAGGCTAAAGTGAATAGACCCTGCTGCATTCTGGCAATTGTGAAACCTTGTTTGTACATTTTCTTGTTTTGAAGAGGCATAAAAGAAATAGCCTTTAGACCTAAAATGACCCAATCATTCCTTCCAGCTCTTTCTACATTGGACAAAGAACAGGGAACAAAATAAAACAAAACAAAACAAAACTCAAATTAATCACATAATTTTTAATCTGGAAAGGACTCTATATTTCATTTAACCCAGTATCTTAATTACAAATAAAGAAACTATATTCTGAGAAATTTAGATACTTATTCAATATTACACAGCAAGAATCAACAATAAATTTTGCAATCCTTAAGTTCGAGGCTCTTCCCAATGGAACCTTCCCAAAATGTAAACCAAGCAGTTTACCTTTAATAAGAAAGAAAGTGTTTTTTTAAAAAAATGGGACAGCATTAAAATGTACAGAGAAAAAAAATTCATTGAAAAGCAGTATACATTATAGAGAAATGTCTTCCCATTAGTCCATTTGTCCACAGAGAACATCATGCTTTCACAAACATCAGTGAAAATGTTTGTAGAGTTTAAAGCTTTAATTTAAAAATCTGTCCTTTATGATGTCTGGATCCTTTATCCTTCAGACATCAAATGATTCTATACAGTTAGCAATAAGAATTATTTTGAGGTTCTTCTCCAAGATATTTTAGTATGTTTGGTGGTAGTGGCCGTTAACAGGTGTTCTTAACAGTTGCGGAAGTAAAATAATACATCAAGGCTCTGTTGAGAGGTGCACATTCACACATGTTCTCTCCCATCATGACTTAGGCAAAGGCAGCAGGTGCACTCAAATGTGACACAGTTTACTCCATCTCAGTCCTGCTATTATTGCCAGAAGGCTTGTCTTTTCCCTGCCCTTTCCCACGTCCCCCTGCCCCATCGCCATCCTGATAGATCTGACCCAGTCCTATAGACGCCCCAGATTGGGCATGTGGGTGTGCACACACCCACACACACCAGGTTGAAGCACTAAAATTGAATTTAAAACTTACTGGGTTCCAACGCTAAACAGGCATATGTATATATAATATGTATATATGTACATGTGGATAGGTACATATAATATGTATTTATCTACCTATATATTCAAAGTGATAATCACTTAGATAAATACCACTCGCTTTTAAAAATTCTTTCATTCACTGCAGAGGATGGTCTGAAGAAACTGGCTTTCAGATAGAGACTACACTCACTGCTCTGCCATTCCCAAGGACCCCTCAGGGCCACAGAGACAGTACCTCGGTTTTGCAGCTACATAGGGGTTTCAACACAACTTCTACCACTTCCTATTTGTGTGATCTTGAGAAAAATCACTTAACCTCTTTGAACAATAATTTCCTTAATTCTAAACTGAGGATGTTAATACCTACTTCATGAAGTTAGGAGGACTGGAGGTATTGTATGCCAATGGGTGCTGCATGGTAGTGCTCAGTACATAATAGCTATTATGATGCAGATGATGATAAGAGGGAAGAGTTAAAGAGGAAATGGGGGATGATCATGGCCCCCATTTCCCAAATGCCTTCTATATTTCGGGATTTCTCAGCAAGGATTGGTAGAACTTGACTGCTAGCCTTTATCTGGTGAGTATGAAGCTCGAGGTAGAGGAAAGAGAACTAGTAGGGGGAAGTCCATGAATGGCTAGCATTTAATGTTATTTTCTTGTCTTGAGCCTATACATACATACACTTAATGTCCCTTCCACTGCTGAGGAAACGGCATTTCACAGTAGTGAATTCAGCATCTTTTGAGGAATCAAAGCCATTTTTTTTTTCTTTTTGCTTAGCAGGACCGGACTGCACAAAGCAGGGTGAAAGAATTCACGTGATCTCCATGGTGGCTAATTATACAATTTCCAGTTTCAACAGCAGGTCCCAGCTATTTGCTCCCCCGCTACCCCAGCAATTCTAGTAACTGTGAGCTATCCTATGGATCACAGAACAAATGCCCAGCTCCTTTCTACAGTCACGGGGTCAGAGTACACAGCCAACCCACTAGCAGAGCTGGTGTTGTGGTTTGAACTATCCAAAGTACAACAAGGAAGGAGGAAGCCCCAACCTACCCCGGACATGCCCTGAATGACACAGCCATTTAGGGCCTGCCTAAGATGCCATTCTGTTTGCAAACACATACTACCTGCCGTATCACTCAACAAAATAATTCCATCAGAAGGCCTGAAGGCAAATGACTAATGTTAAAAGTGGCCCATGCATCATTTCAGTGACAACTCCACAGGCGCCAATTAAACATGGAAAAGACCTGTTCTGAAGCATGCCCACCTGGCATTTCCCAAGGAGCTGTAGTCAATGGCTGATAAAACATACGTGATCATAACTATAAAGAAATTTCGCAGCCCTCTCCTTGCTCAAAAGCAACCGGGGCCCATGAGGACAATCAACCTGGAAGACGCCCAAAAGATGAGGTGAGTAAAGAAAAGCCTGCATCTGAAGCCAGCACTGCTCTTCCTTGTGCACAGAAAGCAAAGATCGGGAGTTGCATGAGGTCATATTTTCAGCCACCAAAAACAAACGAAAAAACCAACCAAACCTCAAAAAAGCCCAGATGGGTCCAGGGAATGCTTGGGAGTTTGTCTGGTAGTCTATGGTAAACTTCAATTGTTATGTCTCCGAGTGAAAGAAAGGATGGGCAGTAGTCCATCCCCTGCTTCTAGGAGTGCTTTCCAGTATCACCATTGTAGGACCTGCTCAGCACACCAGGCCAAACTCACTGTCCAAATATCCTTCCCTAGAACCATACAATAACCACCTTCTGAGTGGAAGGAAGAGGACACACTTAACAAATGAAGTCAAGGCATAAAACCTCCAGCAGAGAGACAGTGGCTGGAGCAGAAATGCTTTTCAAGGCTGCAGTTCTAAATCAGTCAGGCAGACACCTGTATACATACATACATAGAGAGACAAAGCTTCAAACACCACCACCTCCTCACACCTAATGACTGCCTGTGATGAGAGTTTGCATTCTCTATTCTGGCTTTTCTAACAACAAAAATGTGTCTTTATACTCAGTTCTGATTCTGAACCTATTCTCTAATGCTTATCCATTTTTTGTTTTTCCAATACACAAGGTCAGATAAATGAGAAATAAAATATTTTTCAGTTTTAATTTTGATCCAGATCTAAATTATTTGTGACTTTTAATTCATTACCTTTGATTTCCCCTTCAAGTGATTTAAGTCAATGCACCCCTCACATACACATAACAACAGTAAGAAAGATAATATTCTTAGATTGGGGCTAGCAAATATAAGCAAAACAAACAAACAAACAAATAAAAAACCCACAAGCAAAAACAATGATGCTTCCGTTTTCATGAGTCCTTTTACCAATGATGCAGTGTACTGAAATCTCTTCAAAGCAGTTGCTTCAGTGTTAAGTTTTTGGTTCGAAAATAAAAAGGGGTCACTGGCAATTAATTTCTCAGCACAATAGAAAAGCAACCCAACCCCTTAACAACACTAAAATGGCAGAATTAAACACAGTGGGAACAAGTAGGAATAGACGAATACCTGGGATTGCCAGATTGGAAAGGGGGAGGTTGTGGAGGTGAGGGGGGAGCGAGGCCATCCAGTCGGCATTGCAGACCTCCGATGATGTCTTTGTCCCGCTGGGGTTGGGGGAGCAGATGGTCCCCATTCTGAGTTTCCTCCTAGCCTTCCTAACTGCTAGCATCCCTGTTGTTAACAAACTGGCCAGTCTCAGCCCAGTGCCACTCACTCAGTGATCATCACTTCTCCGGCTCTGTGGACGTTTCAGGGCGACGCTTGCCACGCCAGTCTTTCCAAAATGCCTTTCTGGCTGGGAGACGGGGCAAACAGATGGATCCCTACCCACTAGCACCCGCAGTCCCCACTCTCCCCGGCCCAGCCTCTGCTCTACTCCCTTAATCTGCTCAGTCCCAGCTCCGTTAAACTTCTTACGTTCCCCTCTGGAGATGGGGGAAGGTAGGCCCCTACAGATAAATCTTACAGAAACGGAAAGTCCGAGGAGTAGCCACACCCGGAGCCACTCACAAGACAGGTGCCCACCCAGTGTACAGACATGCCTGCCGGTCCATACACATGTGGCGCCCGGGCGCGCCGGCTCTAACCTGATTTATGTTTCTATATGTGTCACTGGGCTGGTACACAAGCTGGGCCTCCCTGCTACTCACTCCCCCGCTTCTCTGCACAGACGCCCCCTGCCCTGTGGCTTCCTGAAAGACACACAGAAGTGCAGCCGGCAGCACCCCGACTCCCGGCAGCCCCTCCCCGCACTGCCGGGCAGATTTGCCGGGCTAGGCGGCCCGTGATTGGCCGCTGGCGGAGCGCGCTCCGATTGGCCAGCGCCCTCCGGGCTGCCCCTCTGTCCCGCTCCCACGCCTCCCCTGCTCCCCAGTCTCCTCCCTTCGTTACTCCTGCCTTCCTGTGTGTGTGTGTACACAGACTCCGCGGCAGCGGCTGCATTCGTGGAAACTTGCAGGCTTCGGCCAGTCGGTCCTCAGATAGGTCCTCTTTCCTCCAGCCCCTCACACAGTCAGCACTCAGATGTTCACACACGGAAAGGGTTACGTTTTCCGTAAACCACAGAAGCAGCAGAAATATGATAGGTAAGAGGCCCAGAAAGGTGCTGTATCTCATATTTGGATGACAACATCTAGGATGGTTTGTGTTTCAGGCATTACATAATTAAGCTTCACCTACACATTACTAGGCAGTAGTCCCGTGCAGTTATTACCGTTTTACAGAGGAGGCAATAATGAAACATCTTTGTATTGTCCTGTTGTTTAGAACCTTTTTTCAAATTGCTTGTCCCCTTTGCTCTTCACAGTACCCCACCAGGCAGGGAGGGTTGCTGATATAATTCCCTTTAGTAGATGAAATGAAAGTCTGGAAGCATTCAGGGAGCTGAATGTGGTGGCACTATTGGAAATCCCATTTTGGAACGAGTCTCGCTAGCATGGAGGCTCGTAGGCATACAAACCCATTTCCCTGCTTTCTGCAGTGTTGCCTATTCCTTCAAATGGTACTTTTCCGTGACGGAAAACTATGAGGTCTCTGCTGGTCTGAGGACTTTGCACATGAAAATCACAGGGACATCCTGGCAAACAGACAAATCAAGAAAAGCACTCTGGGCTTGATGGTAGGGTCCTAGAGGGCTTGATGGTAGGGTTCCAGATACTCGATGATAGTGTTCCGGAGGGACTCAGGCCAGACAGGTCCTCAGTAACTCAGGGGGACCTTATGGGAAAAGAAAGCGGTTGCCTGAGCTAAGGCAAGACTGAGGGCTCATATACAGATCTGTAGGTCAGCTAACATTTAATCACCAAATGGCCCCACGTTATCTCCTGGGCCCCAAAGCACCTTTCCATACACAACTCCTGCTGCGTAGTGGCCCCTTTTGACATCTTATTAACATTTCCTTTTCCAGGCTATTCTTAACATTCATTTCAACCTGCTTTGCTACATAATATTCCCAGTTTTTCTGTTTTGTTTGTTTGGTTTGGTCTGGGGGATTGTCACTTGTATGTCAAGAAGGTGTGTTATATTTTTCATTTATCTTCTAATGCTTACAGGGCACTTCAGTATAAACATAGTATTCTTTGTTTTTAAGTATACCACAGGATATTGGGAATATGTCACCTAGCTGTTTGCATCAACAATGTTTTTGGGTTTTTTCCTCCCACGCACTCTCCTAGAAATATCACTCTGTGAAGTAATATCTTAAGATTTATTTTTGAAGTGACAGCTTTCAGGGCTTCCCCTTCAGCCTAAAATTTCCAAACAGAAAACTTTATGGAAGCTGTCTAAAGCAAACACAATGTATTCTTTAGTCTCTACTGTGAAATGTTAATTTTAGTGCCTTTTTCCCCCTTATTTTTCAACTGTTAACCAAAGGAATGAGTGATAGTTAGAAAGCATCAAATTTGGCTGGGCGCTGTGGCTCACGCCTGTAATCCCAGCACTTTGGGAGGCGGAGGACGGCGGATGACGGGGTCAAGATATCCAGACCATCTTGGCAAACATGGTGAAACCCCGTCACTACTAAAAATACAAAAATTAGCTGGCTGTGGTGGTGCGCGCCTGTAGCCCCAGCTACTCGGGAGGCTGAGGCAGGAGAATCGCCAGAACCCAGAAAGTGGAGGTTGCAGTGAGCTGAGATCTGCCACTGCACTCCAGCTTGGCGACAGAGCGAGACTCCATCTCAAAAAAGAAAAAAGAAAAAAAGCATCAAATTTTAGACACTTAGCGACATCACTGAGTGAGAACTTGAAAGCAAGTAGAACCACTTCAGAATGAGATGATTTGCACCTCTCTGAAATTGGCTTATAAATTTACAGCTACTTGATTTGCCCAAGAAAACAATTCAAAAGGAGGGCAACACTTTTTCCATATATTCCTGAGTCAGTCCTGGGAAAAATCTAGCAAATGAAAACACAGTGTCTAGTACAGTACTTGGCATATAGCAGGTACTTAATATTTATTGGAAGGAGGGAGATGCTTGGTTAAAGCTCTTGATAAACATCATGCTCTGCTGGGCTCTAAGTAGTGTCTTAGAGCAGTGCTTTTCAGACATTAATATGAAAATCAATCATATTCTGATTAAATCAATTTGAGATGGACCTGATATTCTAAATATTCAACAAGCTTCTAGGCAATGCAGATACTCCTGGCCCAGACTACACTTTGTGAGTAGCAAGGCCTTAGAGAACAGGCTCATGTTTGATAGGTAGGATACGCAGTGCTTTTCTCTCTTTTCCAAGATTTTATAATGTTTTTACATAACTTTTATAATCATAAAATAAATGTGCTTAAAAAAACTCAGCTAACAATCTCTAAGATAGTCTTTTTTTTAATCCTATTATGTCATGGAAACCAAATTACCAGTGAGATTTTTGTACGATGCCATAGGTGTATAGGGAAAAATATTTTTAAAATAAAAATTAATATTTAGAGTTTGGATAGTTAATATTTTTATACATACTATATTATGACATCAAAAGAAGAGAACTCAATTAACAGGAGGACTGAAATGTTGAAGTAAGTAAATTTTAATGAATAATTACAAGCAAACGGAGTGCTTTTTGTGTATAAATCATTCTGGTAGGTCCTAGGATTAGAAGAAAAGTGAAATGATCCTTAGGTAATATATAATCCAGTAGAAAAGAGAGTCAGATATGTGAATTATGCATCATAATATCAGGCAGAATGAAGGGATAACAGAGACACACAAGTGGAGGATAATAAAGAGGTATATATTTTGATGGAGGGAGAGCCAAGGGATGCACCGTTAGAGGATGAGGTATTCAAACCAGGTCTTGAATTCTGAGAAAAGTTTCTGCCCATGGAAAATGGGTGGAGGATTTTGGCATGGGAGAGGCATATGTAACTTGGAAAACAGAGGCAAAGCTATGACAATGAATGATAGATGTGAGAAACAGAAAATATACTAGAGTGACATATGAGAGAAGTGGGAAATATAGTTCATTTACTCTCATTTAATCTTCACATGAGCCCCATGAATTAGGCACTCTTACTGTTCCCATTTTACAAAGGATACTGAGCCTTAGTGGCTACATAACCCTGTCCAAGATCTCATGGCTAGTGAGTTGCATAGCTGTGACTCCAAGTCTCTTGATCATTGTGTCAGGGGCTTCCCATTACATGTTACCTGTTATTGTAAACCTAGTAAAGGCTGTTTATGACCAAAGCGTATTAAAGAGTTGCACTTTTTTTTCTATTGACAAAAATGGCCACTGCAGGTTGTTGAGAGAGGGAGGAAAATGATTCACATTGTACTTTAGGAAGGTAACTATGGCAGAATGGAGAATGCTTGGGGAAATGTCCAATTTCTAATGTCCAGTGATATGTCTTTCAGATAAATCACTGAAACCAATTATCTAAGCTATGAAAAGTGAGAAAAAATGCAAAGACCTGGCACATAGAGACTAAATGCATGGCCTTTCTTAACTCTGATGCTTGCCTTCCCAACCCCACTTCTCACCCCAAGGACCTGTAATTCTAAGGCCTGAGTGTGTAGCTTCCCTACCTCTTACATTATTTTTCATTACTTGAACACCTCATCAAACTGTTCATCCATTTTTATTAAACACAACCAATCTCATTTATGTAAATACATATACAAATTTCTTTTCTGGAAATTTTTTCTCCGTTACACTCTTATTTCCCCAACCATTCCCCATTCTGTCATAATTATCTTCCTAAAATACAATGTGAATAATTTTGCTCCCCTTCTCAAAAACCTGCAGTGGCCTCTCTTGTAAATATTACAAAATTTTCCAAGCTCTTTAATATGCTTTATTCATAAACAGCCCTTACCAGGTTTACAGTAATAATAGGTGACATGTAATGGTAAAGACCCTTCTGGATTCCTGAAGAGCTGACTACAGCCTTTGCCCTCTATTTGGAGACTCCATTATTGTTTGAAATGTCTGTACTTTACAAGTAGTTTGTTTTGTTTGGATTCATAGGATAAATGAGTAGTGAGGATCCCAGATAAAGCACCGAAACAGCTTGCCGTTCAGGCATGTGTAGTTGGCAGGATAAGCTGGTCTGATTTTACTTGATTAAAGGCACCCAAAAAGCCTTGGAGGAAGCATATTGATTTAATGATATTGGGACCAGGGCTGTCCCTGGTCCCCAGAGCTAAGCCTCAGGACTGTCTTACTTCCCAGGCTGTGTGCTAGGTGGGGAAGGGACAGACCCCAAGCAGAATCAGAACACAGGCATGTATTTGGTCTAGGGATATTGCCTAGAGGGGAGTGAGGTTATATGTTGCTTTGAGTTCCACAGTGATGTGTCACACACAATTTTTTTTTTTTCTGTCTGGGGAGTGGGGTGGGTGGAAAGGGAATAAGGCTGAAATGAGGAGCCAAGTAAATGAAAGATGGGATGGAGTAGAAGCTGCTTTGCTTTATGGCCTCGTGCCGGTAGAGTTTATTCCTATTCATTCCCAACCGTATTCACCCAGCTCAAGCCAAAACACTGTATGATAAGGATCAGAGGAGAATGAGGAGATGCAACCAACATAGGTGGTGCTGGGACATGACGACAGCAGCAGCAATTACCTCCAGGAAGAGTGACATCATTGCAGCAACTGGGGATCTTCAGGAGCCTCCAATGAAATGGAGACACTGAGGTACACACTTGTGGACACATGATACACCTTACACATTCCTGACATCAGAAGACAGAAGATTGGGATCCAGTTATTTTGTTGATTGGGATAGAGCCAGAGACCATTGTTTTGTCATTGTCACTGTGACCCATTCCCAGATTATACTCAACTGGTGTGTCCTTGAGAAACTGGGTAGAAGAGAAACAAGAGCTTAAGCAGGAAGTAGTGTTGTCTATATTATCTCACGCCCACTTGGTATTTTTGGCCCACAACTGGAATTCTGTAATGAGACAAGAGTGAATGGCAGCAATGGCCATAATATTGCTTCTCCCAGATTTGAAAGCTTGATGTTCAGGAAGACCCTAAGAGCCTCTGTGCCTTTTAAATTTATTGGACATTAAGTTTTTCTGGTATGCTTTGAGAAAATTTCTTTTAACAATAGTGGTTACTATATACTTTTGAGAGGAGCCACTAACAAGTGTGATGATTGTAAAATTTATTTTAATATCCATTCATTTCCGTCTACCACATCACATTCCAGCATCCTCTTCCATTTATCCTTCCCACGCCACCTCCAACCCCTGAAAAGGTAATTGAGAGGAAATAAAGGGCTCAGAGCCTTCATTTTCTAGCTAGTTAGCTGCAAAGCCCCTGATTTAAGATGTTATAGAGCCACCTGCTGGTAATCAAGGCTCACTTCAGGCACACATAATATTTTCTTTCAGTGTCAATTATCCTAAAAATGTCTGTAGATCACCGGCAACAGGAACAACTAGGAGTTTATGCAATATACAGATTTCTGGATCAAATGCCAGTCCTCATGTGTCAGATCCTCTGGGGACGGCATCTTTTCTTCCTGTCTTTAAAATATGCTCCTCGGGATTTTTACGTCTCAAATGTTTGAGATCAAGGCTTTGAAATGTCAACAAATTTCTCTTCTTTAAAAGAGTTAGAATAGGTAGAATGGCAGAGTAAACAATTCTTATCCATGCTGCATATAACTTTATGCAATTAGAGAAGAATATTTTGGCAGAGATAGTTGATATCAACTAGCAGGGAAACCAATTGATCTGCCACCCTTACCTCTTTTTTTCTCCAGGCTACTCCGCTGCAAGGTTCCTAGAGTTATAAGAATTATATCCATTATTAGGAGACGTTGTTGTATTAATGTGTATATTAGTAATCACTTGAGCTTCAGTCACAACAGAATGACCTCTGTACATTTGTTATCATTTAACCAATCTAATCTTGGGAATGCATTATTTTAACAACATGACTCTGCATTTTGGGTTGCCACCATCAGTTGGAAGTAGCATGATGCTGCCTCATCCATGGAGTAAAAATTAGTAATATTATCATTACCTAATATTATCATTCTCTTCCAACTTTTTAAATATTAAAATTGCAAGTTTGTACAAACAACCTTGACCAACAAAAATATTTCTTTTTAATAAAGTAAATAAATTTCAATGTAAAGAAAAGTAATGAATTTTTAGTGTGTCAGCAACTCTCTCTGATCAACTCTCTCTGAATGTTAGGTTGTAGTCAAAAGCCCTTGTGATGCTTCTTAGCCTTTTGATGATTTTATTTCAAAGGATTCTGATTTGCTTAAGTGTCTGTGGTTAACTCCACAACTCAGACACGTGTTCAGCTCTGCCCTTCCTAAACTGCAGAAACTGGTTGTGGAGGAAGTCATAGTTTATCTTAGCAACATCTGCACCCACAGCTTCCTCTTCCTTTGAGTAGCAGAAGTAAAAGAGAAAGTAAAATTTATGCCACACATCTTTCTGTTTCAGCCAAATATAAAGGAGAATATTCTAGAAGTCAGAGTTAGGCAATATAATGAAGTAGAGGAGGAAGTGAGTTCCTATAACTGGAAGCATCCAAGTCAAGCTTGGCACCAATAAGACAGTAACATGATAGAATTGAAGCACTTGATGGCATGATTGAACTCCATGAACTTCATGGTCTTTCCAACCATAGTCTGTTTTTTCCCTCTGCTGGCTATAGATACCTTTTTATCTTTGCACAGTTAAGCATTTCTTTCCTCTTTATTATCTTTCCTCACTCAAATCTTTGACTTCATTTGCTGTAGTAGGACGAACAGAACTTCTATGTAAATATGGACTTGATGTTCTAAAATCATGCTGCTACCAGCAAAAGCTTGAGATTGTGTTTTGGGAAGTATCTTTATGCTGGTAACACGTTCTAGCCTCTGGGGACACCTCAACATTTTCTCTACCCTTTCCCTGCATTCAGCACTCAGGATGAGATACTCTTAGCTCAGGAAGCCAGGCTCAGAAAACACATAATGAAGCTCTCAGAGTGGGAAGTATGAATGACCTGGATGGAAGTCACCTTTAGTGCCTCCATCACCTCCACAGTGGTAGGATTGATGTGTGTGCGGCTTGGGGGCAGAGCTTCTCAACTCTTGCACCGGAGGTGCCCTAATCATGGAGCTGAGTAAATGCACACTCCCCAGAGCCCTGTATGGCAAACATGACAAGCATTGATCCTGGCATTTCTTTCAAGCTGCATAGTTTGTTTTTGTGAATTCATTCACATTTTGTTACACACACATGCGCACACACACACAAAATTGATGTTCTGGATGTGCTATGTTTGCCCTGTGGCTTTGAGTCCCTTCTGGCACACGCCTGTATTCTTGGGTACTTGTGACCTGTAATGTGAAAGTCCTAGGACTGGAAGAAAGGCACCAAGAAGTCAATTAGGCACAAGAAAGCTCTATTCATTCATGGTCCAGCCCAGTTTAGTAAAGTAAAAGACTACGAGTGGATTTGAAACCAAAGCTTGAAATCGTGTCCATTTGCCCAAACCTTAGGCAACCTGGAGCAAAAGCTGGTGAAAAATCAAGATTGTGAGTCATTAGAGACATGACTGTCTCCTTAAAGAGAGTAGAGGACTGACGACTTCCCACCTAAGCTTCACTCTCTCTTCTTGAGTTGACCAGGAGAAAGTTTCACTTGTAGGGGTCATCCTGCCCTTCTGGTACCAAATGTACAATATTAAAGCCCGATGAGTTTACACAGAGGAAGTAGAAGACGAGACCTCTGATTCAGGTCTCAAACTCCTATGACTCTTTAGCCTGCTGAGGTATGTTCTTGCTCCAAGAGTTGTAGACCAAGCTTCCTCACCTGGCTAGACTGGTGTTCTGTGTCTACTTACTTGAGTCTTCACTGATTCCTTGGATCTGTTCTTTTTTTTTTTTTTTTTCCTCTGCACCTATGATGCCTGTCTGATTCTACCAATCTGGGCTAAACTTTGAAACTGACTCAGTGGCCTATTCAGCCTAAGGCATCTGCCAAGCCACCCAGATTTAGGTCCTGACCTCTCCTGGCCTGACTGACATGCCACAGTAAAGACCATTAGAAGAAGAGCATTGATTTAAAGTGGATCTATCAGTCTGTGATGTGAAGTGAGTCAAAAGAAAAGCTCAACTCACCATACTTGAGCGACAATCACCACTTTCAGCAAATTCCCTGTTCCACAAGGCATTTTTCTTTCTCCTACTCACTCATTCGCCATTTCCTGTCATTCATTCACACGATATTGAATTGAATATTCCTTTGTGTCTGGCCTCATCCTCACAGTGGGGGTGGGGAGGAGTGAAGGCAACTTTCCACATTTGAGGACATTTGGGTCCAACAGAGTTCACAGCCTGCATTCTCTCATCTTGGATTGACATTGCACATTTTGACATAAACATTAAAGAAACAATAGCAAACCGAAAAATTTCATCTCAGTGGATAGAACAGAGAGTATCTTCAAATATTGGTCAAGCTGTGTACCCAAAATTTGGGGTAATGGGTAAAAGTTCTGTAGGGGAAAGTTCTGCAGAAGTGATTGCTGAGCCTTCTTCCTGCCCCTGCTCCTGTGTCGAGAGCCCCCAGTAGGAATGTTGGGCAGGAGTCCGCCCAGTTCTGCCACATGTGTGGGATCTTGCTGCAGAGACTGCTGTAAACTGGAACTGTTTCCGTAGTTTCTACTAAAGTAGCAACAAAAAACACTGCCCAAGGGTTTGAGGGAGGAATGAAAGTCTCTCTCTCTTGGGTGAAATCTGGAGAAACACAGCTTAGTTTCCTTTGATATGAAATGATTTAATGGTGAGAGGATAAGTTTGCCCTGGAGTTTTGGGAAAATCAAAGGGCTCCATTTATCTCCTTAAGAAAGGAAAATTGATTGAAGTTTTGGTGGATCCCAGCCAATACCTAGGGCAGAATAAGACCCAGAAATGATATAAAAACAGTGAACTTATGGGCTGAATCCTTGCTTATTTTCTTTCTGAACTTTCAGATTAAACAACGCTCAGAGAAAAGAGAGAATCTTGCCCCTCCAGTGAAACAGCATTTTAGATTTTGTCATACTGTATAAAGGCTGCAGTCTTGGAAAAATAGGGTAGTGTTGACTCAAATTAAGAATCTTTTATTAGGTCTTGCTCAAGTACCTTTTGTTTAAACTTTCTACTTGGAAATAATTCCAAACTTCAGAAAAAGTTTCAAAAGTAAAAATATTAAAAGACACACACATACACACACACATACTTATTCCGTCTACCTAGATTCATCTATCTTTAACAATTTACCCTCTTTGTCATTTGCTTCCATCTCTCTCTGTATGCATATACATGTATATCTATACATGCATGTATGTATGTATAAGTGTATGCATATACATATACATGCACACATGAACACACACCCTTTGAGGCTAAGCTATTTATATCATGGCTCTTTGACTGCTAAATAATAACTGTGTATTTCCTAACAATAAAAATATCTCTTACATAACATCAGAGTTATAAAAACTTTTATCTAGTTGTCTGTCCATATTCTAATTTTGTCAACTGATCTAATAAATTTGTTTTATAGCATTTCCCCCCATCTAGTACCAATCTAGAGTTAGGTATTGCAATCAATTGTCATGTCTCTTTAGCCTCCTTTAATCTAGAATATTTTTAGAGCCTTTCTTTATATTGACATTTTTGAAAAATACAGTCCTCTCTTTTTTATAGAACTTTTTTTTGTTGTTTAAAATTTCAACTTTTATTTTAGATACAGGGGGTACATGTACAAGTTGCATGAAGATATTGTGTGATGCTGAGATTTGGGGTACAGATCTTTTCACTTAGGTAGTGAGCATAGTACTTGATAGGTAATTTTTCAAACCATGCCTTCCTCCTTCCCTTTATGCCCATTGCTCCCACGTTGCCCATTGCTCCCATATTTATGTCCAGATGTGCTAAACGTTTAGCTCCCACTTACAAGTGAGAACATGTGGTATTTTTTTTCCTGTTCCAGCATTGCTTCACTTAGGATTTTGGCCTCCAACTACATTCACGTTGCTGCAAAGGACATGATTTCATTCTTTTTAATGGCTGTATAGTATTCCACAGTGCATATGTACCATATTGTTTTAATCCAGTCCACAAATGATGGACAACTGGGATAATTCTACATTTTTGATACTGTGAAGGGCACAGTGATGAACATACATGTGCACATGTCTTTTTGGTAGTATAATTTATTTTCCTTTGGGTATACACCCAGTAATGTGATTGCTAGGTTGAACAGTAGCACTATTTTAAGTTCTTTGAGAAATCTGCAGACTGCTTTCCACAGTGACTGGACTAACTTACCTTCCCACCAAAAGTGTATAAGCAGCCAGGCGTGGTGGCTCATGCCTGTAATCCCAGCACTTTGGGAGGCCAAGGCAGGCGGATCACAAGGTCAGGAGATTGAGACCATCCTGGCTAACATGGTGAAATCCCGTTTACTCTAAAAATACAAAAAATTAGATGGGTGTGGTGGCGGGCGCCTGTAGTCCCAGCTACTCTGGAGGCTGAAGCAGGAGAATGGTGTGAACCCAGGAGGTGGAGCTTGTAGTGAGCCGAGATCGCACCACTGCACTCGAGCCTGGGTGACAGAGTGAGATTCCATCTCAAATAAAAAAATAAATAAATAAATAAATAAAATAAAAATAAAAGAAGTGTATAGGCATTTCTTTTCTTCACGAACTTGCCAGCATCTGTTTTTTGACTTTTTAATGATGGCCACTCTGGCTGGTAGGAGATGGTATCTCACTGTGGTTTTGATTTGTATTTCTCTAATGATTAGTGATGTTGAACATTTTTTCATGTTTGTTGGCAACTTGTATGTCTTCTTTTGAGAAATGTCTGTTCATGTCCTTTGTCCATTTTTTAAAAAGGAGTTGTTTTTTGCTTCTTGATTTGTTTAACTTCCCTATAAATTCTGGATATTAGGCCTTTGTTGGTTGTATAGTTTGCAAACAGCTTCTCCTATTCTGTAGGTTGTCTGTTTACTCTATTGATTGTTTCTTTTGCTGTGCAGAAACTTTTTAGTTTAATTGGTTCCACTTGTCTACTTTTGTTTTTGTTACAATTGCTTTTGGGGACTTAACCAAAAATTCTTTGCCAAGGCTGTTACAGTTTGGCTTTGTGTCCTCACCCAACTCTCATGTTGAATGTTGGGAGAGAGACCTGGTGGGAGGTGATTGAATCATGGGGGCAGATTTCCCCCTTGCTGCTCTTGTGATAATGAGTGAATTCTCACAAGATCTCACAGATTTGTTTAAAAGTGTGTAGCAAAAAAGTACTACTCACTTTTTTGTTTAAAAGTGTGTAGGACTTCCCCCTTTGCTCTCTCTCTCTCCTGCTTACTTCCCCTTTGCCCTTCCACCATGTTTGTAAGTTTTCTGACGTCTCCCAAGCCATGTCTCCTGTATAGCCTGTGGAACTGTGAGTCAGTTAAACTTCTTTTCTCCATAAATTACCCAGTCTCAGGTATGTCTCTATAGCAGTGTGAGAATGGAATAATATAGCAAATTGGTACCAGAGAAATGGGAGATTGCTATAAAGATACCTGAAAATGTGGACACAACATTGGAACTGGGTAATGGGCAGAGGTTGGAACAGTTTGCAGGGATCAGAAGAAGGCAGGAAGATGAAGGAAAGTTTGGAACTTCTTAGAGACTTGTGGAATGGTTGTGACCAAAATGTGGATAGTGATATGGACAGTGAAGCCCAGGCTGTGGTAGTCTCAGACGAAGATGTGGAACTTATTGGGAGCTGGAGTAAAGGTAACTTTTGCTATGCTTTAGCAAAGAGACTGGTGGCATTTTGCCTCTGCTGTAGAAAACTATGGAACTTTGAACTTAAGAGAGATGATTTAGAATATCTGGGAGAAAAAATTTCTAAGTGCAAAACAGGTAACTTAGCTGCTTCTTAAAGCCTATGTTCATTTGCATAAACAAAGAAATAACCCGAAACTAGAACTTATATTTAAAAAGGAAGCAGAGCATAAAAGGTTGGAAAATTTGTAGCCCAACCATGTGGTAGAAAAGAAAAATCCATTTTCTGGGGGGACATTCAAGCCTGCTGCAGAAGTTTGCAGAGCCTTCTGGCAGTCTTTAGGATTTTCTATGTGGAATCGTGTCATAAGTGAAGAGAGATAGTTTGACTTCTTCTTTTATTAAGGGGATGTCTTTTGTTTCTTTCTCTTGCCTGATTGCTCTGGCTGGGACTTCCAGCACTATGTATAACAGGAGTGGTGAGAGTAGACATACTTGTCTTGTTTCAGTTCTCAAGAGGAATGGCTTGAGCTTTTGCCTATTCAGTATGATGTTGGCTGTGGGTTGGGCATATATGACTCCTATTATTTTGATGTATGTTCCTTTGATGCCTAATCTGTTGAGGATTTTCATCATGAAGGAATGTTGGATTTTATCTTAAGCTTTTCCTGTATCTGTTGATATGATCATATGGTTCTTGCTTTTAATTCTGTTTATGTGGTGAATCCCATTTATTGGTGTGAATATGTTAAACCAGCCTCACATCCCAGAAATAAAGCCTACTTGATCATGGTATGTTAATTTTTTGATGTGCTGCTAGATTTGGTTTGCTAATATTTTTGGAAATTAAAGAACTTCCTCCTGAATAACTACTGCATGAAATAAAAAATTCATTGAAATTAATAAAAATAAGAATACAAGTTACCAAAGTCTCTGGGATGCAGCCAAGCAGTGTTAAGGGGAAAGTTTAAAGTCCTAAGTGCTTTCATCAAGAAGTTAGAAACACCTAAAAATTAACAGTCTAACTCTGCACCTAAAAGAACAGAAAAAAAAAAAAAAAACTAACAGAAGTAAAGAAATAATTAAAATTAGAGAAGAGCTTAATGAAGTTGAGATGCAAAAGATCAATGAAACAAAAAGTAGTTTCTTCAAAAAAATAAAATAAGAGATTGATAGACTACTAGCAAGATTTACAAAGGAAAGAGAAGATCCAAATAACAATCAGAAACAATATTACAACTGATCGCGCATAAATAGAAAAGATCCTCAGGGACTGCTGTGATCAACTCTATGCACAGAAGTTAGGAAATCTAGATGAAACGGATAAATTTCTGGAAACACACAATCTCCCAAGATTAAATCAGGAAGCAATTGAAACCTTAAATAGATTAATATCAACTTCTGAAATTGAATTAGTAACAAAGAACCTACGAAGCAAAAGAAGCCCTGGACCTGATGGATTCACAACCAAATTCTACCAGATGTACAAAGAAGAATTGACATGATCCTACTGAAAGTATTCCAGAAAATTGAGGAGGAGGGGCCTTTCCCTAACTCATTCTTTGAAGCCAGCATCAGACTGATACCAAAATCTGGCAGAGACACAATGAAAAAAGAAAACTTCAGGCCAATATCCCTGATGAACGCAGACACAATAGAATACATCTTATTTTGTATTTATTTGATGCTACTTTGTGATTGGATTTAGTTCGGTTATTCTCTGCCCTAATACTGCATAGGTGATATTGTGTCCTTCCCAGGGTATTACATTTGGAGGAGCACAATATCCCTCTCTCTCTCACTGATGATATTAATTTTGATCACTTCATCAACTTCTTGTCTAATTTCTCCACTGTATAATTACTGTTTCTTTTTCTCCTTTGCAACCAATAAGATTTTTACAGGGAGGCACTTAGAGACCATGCATTTATCCTGATCTTCATCAAAATTTCCTCGATTTAGTATCCGTTGATTATTCTAGCCTGATGCAATCTTTATTATCCTGATTACAAAATGATAACTTCTGAATTTCAACACTCCCTTCATATTTCTTAATCTGCTCTTGAAGTTTTGCTATAGATGAGAGCCCTCCTTTCTCTCTCCGACTCTCTCTGACTACCTA